TCTGAACATAGCTCGTCGCTCTCCGTGGTGCTAATCCCTCACACCAACATCATGCTAATCCCCCAGTTGCATGCTAATTTATATGTAAACTCCTTTGTCAAGGCGCTCTGTTCCTCCCACACAGCTTAAAAGACGCTGTCAAGCTTGGCAGGGTTCACTCAAGCGCTGTCTTCCGGACAGTCCTGTTTCTTCACCTGAGGAAGGCTACTTGTGTTGTGGCCGAAACGTCGTGAGAATTTTATTCTGTTATTATTTTTATTATTTTATTCCCATTCTACGTGACTTTACTGCCACACTTCTCCAGTCCAGGCTGCATGTACACATTTCTAATACTATTGTTTGTTTTTATTTGCCCAAGAACGCCCGAGTAAATCTTAGTACTCAGCCCGTGTTAAAAATCTAAATTCTGATTCTGATTATTCTGATTTTGATTCTGTGTATCAGTCCTCGGTGGATTATCGAATCGCAGGATACTTAGAGATGGTGACCAATTGGGAAAGCCTTCATCCAGCAAGACTGATGCTGACTCATGATTTATGTTACACTGATCAAATCACAAATCACATTAAAATATACATTCTGATAAATATACTTTTTTTCAAAATCGATATCAGATCATCAATTTACGTCGTATCTCAGTGGAGTTGTGCAGCATAAATCCCTTTCAGATTATTTGAACACGCATGCCATATGTATATATATATAACGTAATCCCGAACGCAACGGTGCTCAACACAAAGAAATTGCAACCTTTCAAAATATGATGCTGCAGGCATACAACGAGAGGAGGTTACTGTGCAGCGATCAGTCACATGCGCCGGATTTACATTCCGAGAGTGAATTCAATTATCTGCCCAATTAACGATGCAGATGTTGCCAGCAGTGAATGGGTGCGTGCGTGAGTAAGTGCGTGAGTGAGTGCGTGCGTGCGCTCTCTAGAAAATTGAGTCACGCGTGTTAAATCTGCAGCCATCGACGGGTAATGTAATGGTTAAGACAAGCAACCAGAAAATTGCTTCAATAAGGTACAGCTGCGCACCAACAGCGTACGTTCTTGACCGACGCATAGTCATCATTCTTCCATATAAATAGCACGAGCGCACACAAGACAAAGACCCCGCTCCCCTATCCCTCCCCCGTGAAGCCATGGCAGACTGGAGGGGCAAGTGCTGTTAGCGAGCACCGATGAAGGCCAGCACGGCACACGAGGGGGTGGGTGGCCAGCACCACGCCTGATCGTCTTTGTCTCCACAGTGGCCATGTTTACTGCACACCGCACCAGGTAACCCATTTGAGACCGAGTCGACCAAGGGGAGGCCCAGGACCGGTTCAGATATTCGTCACTGGTGTTGGCCGTGAGCGGGATTCGAACTCGGGTCCTCGGGTTCACAGCACAACACGCTAACCGCTACACTCACATCAGCAACCCCCATTCAGCTGTATGGTTTCTCAGTGAGAATCTACTAATGCCAGAAGTGGACATCTGGTGGTGTGGCTATGTCTTCCTGTCTCTGTCTCTCCATGTTCATGCACTGCACCTGGCAACTCCATTCAGGCTAAGCTGACCTTGAGGAGTCGTCCAGGACAGGTTCAGATTTCACTTTCGACGGATGGTATCCGTGCCCAGGATTCGAACCGAGGTTGCCGGTTTCAAATAGCAGTTGCACGAACCACCCATGGCACTCTTGCCCACACGCAGCAGCTGCCGCCCATCAACTAGGTAGTGGTGGTGAAGTCATCTCACGCAGACAAAGAACCCTCCCCTGTATACTGATTTAAGTGCTGTAAGTGAGCACCTGTTAAGGCCAATACTACACACGAGGGAGTGGGTGGCCAGAACCACACCAGGCCACCTTTGTGTACCCAATGCTGATTTTCACGACACCGCATTTGCTACTCTTTGCCAACCGTCTATTTATGCAAAGAACGGGAAGTTCCCAGTGTTCGGAAAGCAGTCCCCTAGTTTTGTTCATGTAGCATTTTATTGAGGGACTGTTATCTCGGTGTGTTCTGGGACTGTCTGTGTTGTTGTTGTTGTTTTTGCTGCTTTGCCCAATGGTGATAAATCGGACTTATATGATGTACGCGTTTATTAATTATTCATATTGAGTGACTTGCTTACCATTTTTTCCTCAAATTTTGCACTCCTATCGCGTTTTTTTGTAAAAAAAAAAAGAAATTAGCCGTTGTAACATCCTGACCCGCCCACACTGGACTTCTGTGCAAAAGAGCTTTACCGCCCAGCGGATTCCTCCCTCAGTCTAAATAAAGATTCTGATTCAACAACGGCCGCCGCGAATGCGCTTTGCGCATTCTTTTTGCGAGCGCGCTGATCCGTTTCCACAAACTAAAATGTTGCTTCGCCCTCTCGTCCGTGCGACCCTATTGCCCCCAGACACTTTTGTTTCCCTTCCCGCCCGCACTCCCCGACAACGAAGCCTGCGGAGCCGTGATGTGCGGGTTTTTTTTATTTATTTATGAAATCCAGACTGCGATCAGCGACTATCAACATGTGAGCACGTGACTGCGTCCTCCTGGCTGGCGCGAGCCACGGCCGCTGTTGTAGACACCAAGGCAATCGCGATGTCGTTCCATTTCTATGCGAAGAAAATGGGAGGGTGTTGTGTGTGCGATGGTTTTTTTTTGTGTGTTTCTCACACATTTGCAAGGCTAAGCGGGATTGCTTCGTCTGATTTTGACTTTCACAACGTTCGTATTAAAATAAAGCATTGTGTTTCTGGAAGGTGGAGATGATACCTAAAATGTTACTGGTACTTGCAAAATGCTTGCACACTCATAAAGGCAAAGATCCCCCGTATAGCCTTGTCAGAACTTTTGGGGCAAGTGCTATTAGCGAGCACCTATGAAGGCTGGCACGGCACACGAGGGTGGGTGGGTGGCCAGCACCACGCCCGGCCGCCTTTGTCTCCCCAGTGACGATTGTTTACACACCGCACCAGGTACTCATTTGAGGCTGAGTCTACATAGGGGGGGGGGGGGGGCCCAGGACCGGTTCAGATAATTGTCACTGGTGTTGGCCGTGAGTGGGAATTGAACCAGCATCGCCGGGTTCATAGAGCAGCACGCTAACCGCTACACTACAGCTCCCCACACAGGTGCACACACACACACACGCGTTACGGTCGTATTCAGGTGGGAATTATATTCAAATGAATTTTAAGAAAATTTAGAGCCGATTTCTATCTTGAACCAATTACCTGCACATATTAAATCGTGGTCTATAGTCTAATCAGAGTCTACATAAGTGAATCATTATGAAGATGGTGTAAAATGAATCAGTGCGTAATGGTGTAATGGTCGTTATAACATTATTACGCCATGCTATACTTTGCCAAATACACCCCTGGAATCAATCAAACGAGACCGACGCTGTGGGAGGCAGGGTGACAGTGGTTGACCAACATCAAGACTGGCCCCTGCCATATGAATGCGTTCTTTCCTTCACTGGCTCAGGAGCGCAGAGAGCGGCCAAGCGCCATCTGCCAGCGAGACATCTGCACTACGAACCTGGCAACCCGAGTTCGATTCCCGGGCAAGGTCGACGTACGCGTTGATCCGCGTGGTGAGGTTTGGTCAAACGACCGCCGTGACCGACATGGATGTGCAGGAGGCATTCATTCAGCAGTGGACTGATAAAGGGCTAGACATTACATAACCGATGCTGGGTCACCCATTCACAACATTTTACTGACCAGCCTGGTGAAGCGAGCTCACGCAGTCCATTATGACTGACACAGCATGGGAGGAGGGGAGGTCTTTCATCTAACAGTGGATAGAGTGTCGGAATCGATTCACACTACCATCACCATTATTATTTGTGCACGCGCTGCGTTTGTACGTGCGGTGCCGGGTGTACCTGCGTGCGCAGCGAGCGGCGGTAGCAGCAGCCAGCTGACTGAAGCGGCTATCTCTCCCCCCAAACAACGTGCCGGCAGGAATTTGTTTTCATTCTAATTCTCCCGCACCCCCCCACACACATTGTCGGCGCAAACAAAAAAAAAGACGCGCGCTCAAAGGCGCACGCCCCGACTGCTCGGCCACCGCAACCCCCTAATCCGACTCGTCGGCGCTGCGGTAATAATTGGTTCCGTCTTCGGCGAATTAAATTGCACGTCGCACGCAACGCGCTACTCCGTGGCGATGCTCCAGCTCGGGAGTGGAAGTTAAGACAAGTCACCCGGCCCGTGTACATTCGCGAAACTTCTAAATAAAGCGCGCGCTCAACTGTGAGGTTGCTCGCCGGGAGGGCGCGGGGAGTTGGTGGATGGAGGGGTGGGGGGGGGCAAGGGGTGGGGTGGGTGGTGGTGGTGGTTTTGGAGGGATCAGTGGTGGTTCGAGCTTTGATTCGATGCCAGATCTGTACGTGCAGTAATAACGCGTCTCTTGAAGTTGGGGGCCCCTGGCCTGGCTTTGGCTGGAGTTGTGTTAATGTCCCATTAAAGCGCCCAGGTCATGCTTGAGTAGAATGGCGCTGCTGCTGTTCCACGTGCACTCTCGCGCACAAGCAGTGGGCGAGCGACGATGCGACGATGATGATGACGATGACGATGATGACGACGACGATGACGGCGACGATGCGCCGCTCATACGAAGAGTAAAAATAAACCTTGGAGGCTTAGACTCGAAGGCGTAAATTCCGCCTTTGATTTACGGACAAGGAGATTGCGATTGAACGAATTAAGCAGAGAACGTAAATAGCCGAGGGTGATGGATGACAGACAGACAGACCAACAAGCACATACAGGCGGACAAGAGACACAGCCGTTGTATGTTAAAGTCAGCATCCACTATGGATGATTCAGATTTGGATTCCTCCAGTCTAAATAAAGATTGTGATGTTACAAACATACTGCCCAAAACGCAAGCCATTATTAAATTCAGTCGCAAACCCAAATTGTGACCACTCGTTAAATCGCTAAAGGGGCGGATTCGTGAGTCACACGATGTGTTCGTGTCGCTGATGGCACGGTCCACCATACCTGATCTTCCTCCAGTAGAATGAGCCCCACCACCACCATGTTGATCTTGCTACCGATCGTGCCATCCTTGAACAGCGTAGACACCTGCCAGACACGCACGCACACGCGCGCGGGACAGGTGGCAATGTCAATGCAGCATCTTCATGCAACTACTACGTGTTTTCTTTGTTTGTGGTCGTGCCGTCCAGCCCTCTGACGTGTTCTCCTTCAGGAATACCTCCTGAAGAAGCCTCTTACACGTGAAGTGAAACGTCGGACATTATTTCGAGCAACTTTCGGTATAACCCGAATGCACATCAGAGAGCTATGGTACAAGTTATATTGTGTGCACTGACATTATAAAGGTTAGTGGCGGTAATTTCACATTAATAGGCTAGGAGGCAGCCTATCCATAGACAAACACCACCAGCTGATGGTGATGTTTGATGCATAATGATAATTTATGGACGAAGATGATGATGATGAGCGGTATGTGGATGCTGATAATGATGGATGAATAGTGATGATAATGATCATTTGAGTTGGGCCCCAACTGATATATAATTTCCCTTTGAGGGAGGTACAATTAAAGGGAACTAATCTGCATTAGTTTGAACCAAAAACACATTACCCCGGGGAACCAATGTCCACACAAACTAACTAACATGGCAAGCGGTGGCAGTGATCGGGGCCAACACCAACCTGAGCGAACCCACGGTGGGACCGACAACTCTACGCACGAGAGAACGAGCTGCGCAACTCAACGACCGACCGACCGAACAAAGTTAACTCAACGGACGAAACAAAAGAACAATAGAAACCCACCACCCCCCCACCCCCCCAAAAAAAACACGACCCACTGAACGGACAACGATCGACCAACCGAACGAGCGGCCAAAACTCCGGTAAGCTGGCGCGCACCATGTTGAGCACGGTGAGGATGTAGGTGGTGACGTTGTCGGCCGTGTGCCGCTGCAGCATCCGCTTGTCGGCCACCACCAGGGTCTCCACCGTGAGCTCCTTGCCGCCGCCGCCGCCGCCGCCGCTGCGTGCCGGGGAGCGCCGACTCCTCGCCCCGCGGCGCTGGCGCCCGGCCGCCGCCGCCGCCGCCGCGGTGGTGGGGCGAGGGTACTCGTCCGGACGGACGCGGAACGCGGGGTCGAGGGAAGGAGACATGGAGGGCGAGGCTGCAACACAGGCACACGAGACAGGGCTGGCCGTCGGGCCGAGCAGTAGCGGTGGAGGTGCCGGCCCAATCGGCCACTCACCGCCCCTTCACCACCACCCCCCACCCCCCCGCCCCCTGCACCTCCGATTAGCATGGTTGGCTACTTACGGTGCGAAAGAAGATCAACAAACGTAACCCGCTTCCAATGTGTAAACTCCACGTATAAACTCCCCCGGGAGATGATAGGCGAGATATTAGGTAGCAGGTCGAGATGATTTAACGAGACGAAAGGAATGTGGTCAACATGTTAGAGGTGTAGTCAGATGTAGTGAAATGAGAGAGATGTGGAAAAGCGGCAGAGATGGAGTGAGATTGGGGAAGACCAGTGCAGACAAGATAGAGGTGAGCGAGATAGATTCGCCGTTTTATGCGAATTAACTGGTTATGTTTATTATTATTTGAATCCGAGCTAATATTTTGTCATTCCCTACTTTGGGGTCCCCTTCGCTGCATGGGGTCCTGAGGTTTTTGCTTCATGCGTTTCATGCCCATCGCCACCACTGTAGCCATGGATGGAGTCCAGTAAAAGACTCCGGTGAAAATTCCACATTCTCGTGCTGGCGCCAGTCTCTCCACTGAAAGGCCACTGCTGACAAAGTGGTCTTCTTTCGGCATGAAATATGCATCAATTCAGCGACTGAAATCGATTCCTGCAAACGTGCTAAACGCATCAAATCGTGTGCGTGAAATATGATTCAAGATTTATGCAAATATTATTTAATCTTACATTCAAAGCTAATGCTGCTGACAAAATTATTGAACAAATGAGCAAAACATTGAGGATTGTTACAAACAGGGTGGTAAAAATCAGACAAATAAAAATAATCAAATTTGAATTACAACATTGAATTGTGGCTCCCAAATCGTAAATAAATGCTGAATGAGTTGACACACACAAAGTACGTATTGTATTGACCTGAACAGATGATAGTACAATTTGACTTTTAAATAAAATTCAACTCGTGACCTATACATGAGTCAAATGTTCTACCACAATTGCCAACCCAGTCTGATGGGATTAGAATACTCCATCTCGTGTCAGGGATTTAACACAAACCACTGTTTTACAAATAATGATGATGACTTTTATATGTCTGGGTCAGAAAGTCCTAATAACGTGATTTAAGAAGTAATTTTATCTCTTTTTATGGAGGCCATTCTATGACATGACAGGATGTTTTGCTAACGAGAGGAGATCTATGAGGACATTTCTTCACTTCATTACACATTGCCTTGCTTAATAACACGCATTTACAAAGCAAGAAATAATTTTGATTTTCTAAACATAACATTTCGCAATTCGGGGAAAACGAACAGCAGAGATGTTTCTGAAATGGATATTAAAGAAGACAAACAGGAATGGGGAGGGGGGGTGGAAAGGATATGAAGAGATGGCAGCACAGACAAATTATCATGAGTAATACCATGCAGACATCTCATCCAATTTCCTGCATTAGTTTAGGAAGCGATCACAATAATGTTGTACATTCACACATACATATAATGGGGAGTCATTTTGACATGAGCACATCTATAAATGGTGACATGTGTATTTGACTGTATTTCTGAAAACAATTACACTCAACATCATCATCATCATCATCCACGAACTATCCACTCCTGGATGAAGGTCTCCCCATTCCGTCGCCACCTCTCAAGGTCCTGCGATGTAACAATCCATGCGACCGCACGCACACGATCAACTTATATTGATACATCTCCGTGGCGTCAAATCCCCTTGTGCACTTGTCCCCTATTTTGGCTGTCAATCTGCCATTAGCCTTGACCCACTGGCCACCATCCCTGCCAATGACGTGTCCTGCCCAAGCCTCACTCACTCTTCTCAACGGTAAAGAAAAAATAATACGTCTGTACGTACGTACAGTATGCTGAACTTCATTCGCTCATCGGATGATGTCTCTAACTTCCGGATGTTCTCCGATCCATGCGGTCCCTTCTTCTGGCTCTCGAATTTAATCAGGAGCATGCACCTCTTCTTTGCTGCGTTGCAGCACGCTTTATACTTTATTCCATTCTATCCGTCAATTACACTAATGCACCCTATGGTGAATTGGACTCAAGAACTAACCATCGCAAAATGTTCTCTTTTCAAATGGTTTCAAGTTATACCACTGTGGATCGAAAGAGTTCAGAGCTCATTGATTCACATGCACTGCACAACTGTGTACACGCAGGCGCGCGCACACGCAGACCCTGCATAATTATATAAACAACAAAAAATATATGTTCGGCTCTCAGTATGCATTCACGAGGGGCATGAAGGGTAGGACGAACGTATTCATTACATATGTCGCCGAACGCACTCTCGGCAAGTATTGATGGGAGTGTCCCCCGAAAATTATTTTTCTAAAATGTATTTGCACGGAATTATGCGCTTGCATTGCAAAAATGCGCCGACGCCATATATGCACAGTGTTCACCAGGTGCACGCTGCACCGGCGAGTGGGGTTTCTAACATGTTGCAAAGAGACAGCTGCAAGTGTGTTGCATTCAAAATGCATATTTCATATGGGCGCATTTATTATTAAAACAAAATATTTTTTCATATATATTTCGCATATGCAAATGTGCACCTGCAAATGCCTGAGTTCACACGGATATTCCGCTATGCCGTATTCATTAAAAAAATGTGCACCTAAGCATCAAGTAATTATAAGGGAGTTCAGTTCAAACAATGGGCAAGTTTTTTTTTTACTTGACTTTCTGACCTTTTGACATGAGGATACACGATGCTCTGGCTTTTCAGACAATGTTTTGATAAAAAAAAAATATCAGAGAATATGCTGCAGTGTAACGGTGAGCACATTGCAAGGTCGCAGCTGGAACAATGGTGCAAGATTCATAAATGCCACCTCCCTCCCCTCCCCCCTTTGTCCACCCAGCCAGGTCCTATGTGGTGGTGGGGTAAAGTGTGGGTACTCCCACCATTTCTGAGACACACCTGGCCAGCGTGAAAGAGGAGGCGAAATACCCTACAGTGGCGGTCCTTCTGCTAGCAGTGCTATCAGCGAGCAAACGCTCACAATACAATTGACGTTCAACATATCGTGCACGTGGTAGATTGTTTACAATGATTGTTGGGCAACTTTTGAACGGATACTTCCCCCTGTGTCCTCCCCAGGCTTCCTTTGCAAGGGACATATGTTGTCTAAAAAAAGCCGATTGAAATAAAGAATAAATACACTTGCAACGAAAACAACAACAACATCTACGACACCACTAGTTATAAAACTTTCCAACCGCCAATGCCAGCATCTGCATGTATATCCCATATGTCGCCTGTGACTCACAACCGACAACGCGAGACAAAGACAAAGATCCCCCGTGTAGCCTTAACACACTATTGGGGCAAGTGCTGTTAGCGAGCACCGATGAAGGCCGGCACGGCACACGAGGGGGTGGGTGGGCCAGCACCACGCCCGGCCGCCTTTGTCTCCCCAATTGCGATGTTCACACACCACAACAGGTACATATTTGGGGCTGAGTCGACCTAGGGAAGTCCCAGGGCCGGTTCAGATAATCGTCACTGGCATTGGACGCCGTGAGCGGGAATCGACCTCTGTTTCGCAGGGTTCGCTGGCGCGGCGCGCAAAACCGCTACACGACCGGACAGACGCACACACACAGACACATTGACACACGGCTCGTTTTCTTCGGTTGTGGGGTGTCAGAACGACCCCGCTACGGCCTTTCCGCTGACCAGCTGCTCGGAGCTACTGCAGCTTCCCGTGTCAGCTCACGCCGGCCACACGGTGAGAGCTACGTGGTGGTGGTGTGGGCGGTGGTGTGATAGCCGCACAGATTATATTTTCGCGAAGCGGGGTGGGGGGGGGGGGGGGCTGCTTTTAATAACAATTAAGTATGCGGCTCATGGGCTCGTCTACTGGCACAATAAATACCCAGCAGTATTTTCTCGCCATTCATCTTAGCGGCGGCTCGAACACTAAACCGCTAAGTAAGGGAACACGTGCATAACGGGATTCGTGACACCGGGGGGGGGTGGGGTGGTTGTTTCGTGGCGGAACGGAAAATGCTTGGCCGTGTGACCACGGACGAGTTCGTTGAGTGGCGACGTGAGCAGTCGGTTTTGCCCGCCGAACAATTGCGACGTTTTAAGTTGGGTGAGAAGGGGCTGCCACCCCCAACCTTTCTACCGCGCCGACTTTGAGTGGCACGGAAAGCGGCACTAAATACGCTTTTCGTTTTCGCCGGCAGGCGGTCAAGCGAACCGATGGAATTGAGTGCCAAACTTTGCCACAAGGTGTGTGTTGTGCAAGTTTGTGCCCGTGTGGGCAGTATAGGAATGCCACTTCTGGAGGTACAAAATCACTGAGACATTTCGTCGGAAGAAGAATGCCTCCTCACCATACCGAAATAGGCGAGAACAACAGCTGCGAACGCATCGTTATTAAAATGGCACAACCGACAAAAAACAGGACAAGGGGATGGTCCTGACAAAACCAGGACAGGTCGTAACCCTCGTCGTGACCGAAAGTGAATTGGTTATTTACAGGGGTAGGATGTCAGCCACCTAAGTTTGACTCCTAGCCAGGGACGCATCCGTGACCACTGACCGCTGAAGCAGCCCTGGGTCTCCGCTTGAATTACTCATCGACAAACGAGTACCTGATGGAATTTGAAAAACGAGAACTGGGAATACAAAGACGGCCAGGCTTGGAGCACGTCACGTTACCAACGTGTGCTCTCTGCAAGTTGTATGGGGCGTTCACAAATAGCACTCTCTCCTGGAGTATGTGAAGCTAAGGACTGATATATTGCCGTAAGAGGTCAGGGTAGTACCACACATCCAGCATAATGTAGGACACACCAGCAGTGCACCCAGATTTAAAAAAAAAACAGGGGCCAAATCACAAAATTGATTGCATATGACTGAAGTTGTTTGTGATTAAACGTACACAATTAAATGCAAATGAAGAA